GAACTCCTTTGCCCATTGTTCATCGTTCTCCTTGTCTGTAGAATTAATATAGATTGCCGAGACTTGTCGAAGTTTATGAATGAAATGTACCACTTGTCGACCCAACTGACCGCTAGCAATGAGGATTACTCGATTGTGTATTGGCCTTCGTTCTATGTATTGTTTACATTCTTCTCCATCTTGAAATGTTTTGAGATGATTGATGATAGAACGCAGTTTTTGTTGTTTATCTTGATTCTCTTCAGAGTGAACATTTTTGTCAAGCCAGATAATACTGAATATTTCAAGATTTTCATCATAGGCATTGGCAAGAGAATCACTAGAAGGTAGACTAGCCATAGCCATTTAGATATCTAGAAACAACGAAACTGTAGCTCTTCAAAAGTTTTGGGTGTGCGTATGGATGGGGGGTGTAGGTATGCGTGTGTGGGTGTGGGTGGGGTGTAGGTATGGGGTGTGTGAGTGTGGGTTGGTGTGGGGTGCGGGGTGGGTACGGATGGGAGTGTGGGTATGTGTGTGGGTGTGTGAGTGTGGGTGGGATGTGGATGTGGGTTCTCTATTCATGCACAGCCATTCACACCCACACCCACCCCCACCCACATTCATCCACACTCACACCAACACCCACACATCCACACCCAAACGCACACCCACACTCACACCCACCCACACCCAATCAATATAACATGAACACCTAAACGAAATTTGGTATCCAATTATACATACATCAAAAACTATAATCAAGGAGAAAATCAAACGAAAACAACAAATGAATATCATTAGCCATACTAATGGACGGGGAGACGGAGATAGTGGATCTGATATAGATGAAGAATGACAAATCTTCGTTCCTTCCAGTATCTCCATCTTCCGATCCACTATCTTTTCTTTTCTTTTCGTATTGTCTTTTTTCGTTCCTTCGTCGGTATGCCAAAGATCATATGATTTATATATGGAAAAAACTAGATAAACATAATATTTGTACTTTAACTGTTGTCTGAAGAAGACGTTATTCGACGTCGAAACGTTACTGTATAATAAAATTAAGACAAGAAAGAGAAAACCTGTTACTATTTATAAACTTTAATGACCTTCCTAACAAGAGAACAATATAGGATGATGTTAATAAACGACTACTTTTTGTTGATTATCATTTTCGAAGTTTCGTTGAAATAGACTCAAAAATTATAAGATATACTGGTGGAGTTAGTAGAAGAGAAACAAAAAAAATCATACACCCTATGTACGAACTTTGAATAGATCTAAAATTATTCAACACATAGAGTAACTTAGCTTTGGATATTTTTGAATCTCTAATATCGTCGTCAGGAACCCATAGCTGAGACCTGAAAAATCAATTTTGATGAGTCCATAAATTTTAAACAGCTTAACACTTCTGGTTTTTCGTTTTCGTCTCGATTTTTAACAAGTGAATTTTTCTCAGTTTTTTTTATCTTCTAATGATTTCTTCTCACGTTTCTGTACTTTTTCTCATTAAAACCTATTCACTTCGTAAGTTATTTCCTGTACGTTCTTCCTATGTTGCTAGATGTTCGATATTTGAAATGAAGTAATCTGTTGAAAGAACAATTGATAATACTATACTTCCAGGTTCCTTGAGATATTGTTATGATCACTTAGTAGTTCTTCTAGTTTCACTTCAATATTGTATTTTTGTCATGTAGATTGAACTTATTCATCTGTTTCTTTATCCAAAATTATACAAAACAATTTTCGTCATCGATCAACTGTGAAAAATTAAATGGATATAAAAGCATTATAATTGTATAGTTTAGAACAGGTTATTAGAGAATACAGTCTAATAAATATGATGGTATTACAGAAGAGGCACAATGTTGAAAAACCAAAAAATCCATCAGGATATTTTCTAAGAAACTCTGAGATATAGAATTGTCGCATTTTCTTTAAATATATTATTTAATTGAAAAACTCGAACGTGTAAAATAATATTCACAATATTATTATTTTGATTTATTTGTTACCTTATATTAAGGAGGAAAACCTCGTGAGGAGCTTCTCTTGTTCTATGTATTATATTATTGGATTTACACAATTATATAAATTATGCGCTCCTTCTCACGAGCCCTTATACATATGAATGAATAAGAGAGCAAAGTGAACATTTATGATGTATGTGATATGAAGGATAGACAATGCGTAGATACATCTATTTGAACATTAAGCAATGATGCAATGGTGCAAACATTGATAAATCATCAAAAAAAATGTGCTAATAAAGCAGTATTTCTTGTTCAATTATTATACTTATGCTCACACGCTTGAATATTTCTGTATCACCGCAGCTTATTTCTTCAACAGTGAGACTCGCTTTACTCTCAGAAATATTTTTAATGCTCTAACAGATGCACTGACGATCTCAAGAATTTTCCGGTCAATTTGACACGTGTATGAGCGATTTAAGTTTTTTTTCGTTTAACTGAAACACGGTTCGATGGATGCAGTATTTTCTCGCTAACCTCACATGGATAAGTTGCATAAAGCTTTTCGCGTTTCTGACACATATATTAGTGGTCAGCAGCTATTTTGTTTAGCTCTGCGAGATGGATGATTGAACCGATGTTGTTTTTCCGATAAAGCCATCAAATTAATGAGCTGCCTAAAGACTTTCGGCATCTATCTCACAAATTTCCCAGTGATCTAAAAGTCTACACGGTTACTCAAAAGTATTTATCACCAGCTCGAAGCGCTACAACGCTAACAGAATACATGAACCGATCTCGAAAACTTCTATGGTGCCTACCAAACACATTTCCAAGTCACCATAAAGTTTTTCCGTCACCCGAAGACATTAGTCAAAATCTAGAAAAATTTCATTGCTACCTGACACACAAATCAATTTTCTGAAAACTTTTTGTTCTTATCCAGACATATTTTTCGGTGGCCCGGAACATCTCGCTACCAAGTGAAGAAAACTGTCAATAGTCTAAAGCTTTTGGTTCTTATTAATACATGTTTCCATATAGTTCAAAAGCATTCATCGCCATCAAAACATATTCGTCGATATCTCGAAGGCATGGCCCATTAGCGTGATATTTGTATTTATTCTGCGCGACTTTTGACGCTTCATTCTACATAAGGTGTGGGTGTGCATTTCATAATAATTCACCGACACTCACACGTTGTTGAATAAGCTTTAAAGTGATGCAGAAAAATTCAAAATCGTCTTTTATACATCTGCTAATGTACTAAGAAAAGCTCATTCATAAAAAAATTAATTTCATGGTGGGATAATATCATATTATCTGTAAATTAGACTTAGAATTTTTTAATCAGTCACCAAAAGATAGAATGCATAACAAAAATATTAAAATAATTGATACATCAGAACGTTTCACATACATGACATGAGTCACACTAAACTATATCGATATAAACAATTTTCAATATGTCTGAAAGAATGTTCTGCACGTCAATATATTAGAAATATCTCGCAGGGGTGTCATTTTTAACTAATATTACGGTCCGATACGAAAGTCAGTTATTACTTATGGTCTAACAAGAATGATTCTTCGTCTCATGTAGTGAAATCAATTGTTTTTAAGTTTGAAAAACTTTGAGTGATTTTACTCATAAACCGCCTATAATTCATGAATAGTTAATGTGCTAACACGAATGAGCAACTTTTTCGTATGAGCAATATTAAATATTTCAGTTTTTATTTTGATCATACTGTTTAGATTCGATCACATCTAATTATGGAGATTTAGATAGAGAGTATCAATTTTTCAGGTCAAAAATTCAGATGTCACATTCAACAAGATTTTATAAGATGTTACCACCAAATCAATAAGGGATCATTCCTTCGGTATTATTGAAAGACTTAAACGAACCCCATGTAAACACCAGACGCAGAATATACGCGTGTTATCGCAGTTTCATTGTAGACCGCGTTCAGACGCGCTAAAAATTGATTTTCACCGC